AGTTATGTACTTGAAGGTACCAGGACAAAGTTATGTACTTGAAGGTATTATTTATTTCAATTAAATAAAATTCTAATATAATATATTTATGAAATAGAATATTGTTCTCGATATGGTGTTCGTGGTTGTTTAAGACATCTTTATTATTTAAATGATTTACTTGATCGAGCTGAACAAGGATTTATGATTGATCCTCAATTTCTTCATTATAGTTATGTTTTTTGTACATCTCATGTTTCCGGAAATCGGTTAGATTATTTTAAAATATTTATTTTAAATAAATTAATTTTCGGTTTTATTTAGACTTGATAATAATGTTTCAACAATAACTATGGAAGAAAGAGATCGATTTAGTGAAATAATAGAACGATTAAAACAATTTCTTGAAAATCAAGTTACTAATTTTAGGTAAGGATATTTTATTAATCAGATATAGAGACAACATTATTTTATTTATTAGTATTAAATTTTAAATAAAATATTCGAAATAAAATTCTTATTTAACCAAAGATTTTATTCAAATTGAAAACAAAAAATAAAAACTGATCAATTCTTTTTAATGAACTTAGATAAATAAAGTATCATAGAACATATTTGAGAATTATTTATTTACTTAGTTAATTCATAAACGATAAAATTAGATTGGTTTTGTGTTTATTTCATTTAATAATCTTTATTTATTTATTTATTTGTTAAGATTTTCATTTCCATTTGGTCGACCCGAAGGTGCATTAAAAGCAACATTAAGTTTACTTGAGCGTGTTCTTTCAAAAGATATCTCAACACCAATATCTCGTGATGATATACGAAATTCTATTCGAATTTCGAAAATGTCTTGAAAATGCTGCATATACAAATTATACACGGGTTTCAGATCAAGCCAAAATTGAAGGTTACACCTTTTTTATTTTATTTAACTTTTATATTGATCAACTATTAGATAAAACAAATAACATCAATGTCTACAGATTTAGATTTTAAAAAAATTCTTATTAAAATACCTAAAATAGTTAATTAAACAATAACCATTCTAACATCTTATTGATATTCCCATAGAGTTAGCTTATGTCATCTATCTTATTTATAAAGAATAAATTATTCAGATTGTTCGAATATTGTAATCGTTCTTCTTAAAAGAGAATATATTTATCTCGAAGAATTATTTTCAACAATTAATAATCATTCGATTCACCATGAATGAACATTAACAATGAATGAAGATGAGTTTATTGTTAATATTAATATATCGAGAACTAATTTTATGACAATTGTATCATATCGAGATTTGCTTTTTTT